AGGGCTCGCCTTCAGTTCCTCAAACGTGCCAGGTTCTTTCCCACCCCAGCCTCTGCCCTGGCTGTTTCACTGCAAGAGTGTTGGGTCCTTCCCCCATCCTTCCCTGCTGCCAGCCCCCTCATGTCCCAGTTCTCAGCCCCACCGTCACCTCTTCAGCAAGGCCTCCCCTATTGTCCCAGCTAAACAGGCGCCTCTCCGGTTATCTGCTCCTTCACTTCAGAATAGTGCAAGGCTGGTGTGATCACCCTGCAGGACCTCTCATTAATGTATCAAACATCAGGTGCTCAGAAACTTCCTACTGACTTCATTGAAAAACAATTAACTTCCAAGGACATATGTTTCAGTTGAGCAAAAAGACACATAATGGGTTCCGTCAAAGGGAAGGCACAGAATGAAAACCTGTAGAAAGGCTATCAGGGGTTGGAAAAACAGCCCAGGGGCGACAGTGGGGCACTGACTTTAAAAACACTGCGTCATCATCAAGACCTTAATGGCAGAGATGACAGATTTACAGAAGCGTTAACATCCATGACAAAGTAAAACAGGATTCAGTTAAAGAAAACAGTCAGGCTGCGTGCAAAGCAGTTACACCTTAACCAATTTATTTTGCCTATAATGTGCCTTTTTATGTATGCATAAGTGTAATGTGATTTCAAAATTATGTCTAAATAATTCCAAAACAGCTCCTGCAATAAATATAAAATAACTATTTCTGGTGATTAAAATAAGCACTGGAACATAGCTTCACTGGCAGCGTTTTCTTTCCTTAATGGTGTGTAAAATAATGGTGCATCTTAATGTTTGAGTCCGTAAAACGTGACAGCACAAAATTCTAACACATCCAGCTCAATCTTTGCTTATAATTATTTCCTCAGACTAATTTCCAGGGATTGGGTTTCCGCAGTCAAGAACATTTTTGCTGCCTACTGTCGGAAATATTCTATAAAATGTTGCAATTCTGTAACAAATATCTCTATTTTTTAAACCCTCACATTCCTTGTACTGTATGTTTATTTTCGCTAATGTAAATTAACAAAAAAACTAACTCACAGTTGTTTTAAGGGTTTTTAAATTATCAACTTTTTTTTAAATGTTAACATTTCTTTACTATTTGACTCCTCCTCCAAATAAAGTCTATTCTCCGCATTTGTCTGTTCGTCCTTTGGATGTGGTGAGGTTAGAGACAGACAACCCTCTCTGTTTTTATACTCAAAACTTCTAATGTGTATTACAAATATTTCCCCCATTCTGCTGCTTTCTTGTTTGGGTTGTTCACTATACTGAGATATTACATCCTTATTTAATTGTTTCTGTCTGTCTGGACCGCTACAATTCTACCTCCTGCTTTAAAAGAGAAAGTATTCTCCCCTCCAGCTGGGAAGTGTTAAGAATCTGCTGGGATCCAGGTGTGAGAAGTGGATCTCCCACATATCTTCTTTGGGGTTTATAGATTAACTACCAGGCGGTTACAAAGACACAGGTTTTGTACAACTTTTTAACAAAGTCCAGGTCTCTGTTCTCCTGTAAGAGGCACCCATTTCTCACTTTGCGACATTGCGACACGGTGCTAACAGTGTCCGTGGACCAAAGCAATCATTTCTCACATATTTTTCGTTTATATCTTTTACATTTTGACCCCTTCTTTTGACCATGTTCCTAACCAGGTTTAAAGAGGATGGGGAATGTTCCCTTAGAATCATCGCAGAACTTCCATTATATCATCAAGAGTTAATACTCAAACTCCTACAGAGAGCTATCCTTGAAAAACATTCCTCAAGTCAGAAGTCAGTGCATAGAATTTTGGGGGTAAAATGAGTGTTCAGATAAAGAAAAGAAACTTACTCACACATCTGAATTCCATTTTACAGGCTCTCCTGGTTCCCAGCTAATTCCCCTCTAGACTGTAAAGATGGTTCGTGACCCCACCTGTAACCACGCTATCCACACGCACGTCTGCTCCACAGAGCAAGGACTTCCTTACCGCTGGGCCTAATGCCTCAGGAAGCCTCTGACAGACCCAAGAGTCAAATACTTCTCACCCTGTTTTATTTGTGGTATTATCAGAAGTGTACAGCACACAGCAGGTCCTCAACAAGCAAGTGAATTATAAGAAAAGGACCGTTTTTTTTAAGACTCCCACTTCAAGGAAAAAAAGTAAAAGTATGAAAAGCATGAAGCGATTGCTGCTCCTCACAGAGGCCCCGCCGGCCCCGCCGGCCCCGCACCGCACCTTGAGCTCCTGCTTGGGCTCCACATTCTTGATGGTCGTGTAGTACACGTGGTGGCCGTACTGGTAGGCCACCAGGTTCTGCTCCAGGTGGTTCTGGGCCGGGCGCACAAACATCATCCAGTTGCACAGGGTCTCGTCGGACAGCTCGAACCACAGGTCCTCGTGCAAATCCCTGTCCTTTCTGTCCCCTTTATCAAGAGAAACCTGCAGCCAAAGGGGAAGTAAAAAGCCACACACACAAAAGCTTTAATACGATACACACTCACGAAATACCACACAGGACGTTGCTCCCTGAATCAGCCGTGTACACTGCTTCTTCCCTTTGTGTCTAGAAAGATACTGGAACTGTGTCTTGCCAAATGTAAAAGGGAAAGGACACTTTCTGAAGACAAACTTGCAGGAGGATTACCCAGCAAAATCTGAAGGTTAATGCTGACCATAGCTTTGGTTGGTATTTGATCATCAACTAACACACCAAACAAAAAAAAGCTACTAATAAGCCAGAAAATGCAAGCAACCTGCTCTCCAGTTCATTGCAAGTTGCTTCCCTTAGGGATTCAACTGCATTCATTTACAAGGCGCAGCCTGGTGGCAGGTCTTCCTCTTGACAGAGGAATTGTCGTTCCTGGCCATCTTGAGCACTCACCAAGGAAATCTCCCCACAACAGCTGCTGATTTCTTAAAAAACACCCCAGGTGTTCTCCCTTCCCACCCCGCTTCCTGGCTCTCCAGGAAGCAGACAGCAGAGGGGTTGGACAGAAGCAAAAGCATCACACATAAGGAACGGGCATCAGTGTAAATACCGCAAACTATTTTTTAACAAAAGATTCAGCAAGACAGACCTGTTTCAAAAATTGAAAAGAGCTTTTCCTGAAAACTTTGTGGGCACTCAACAGGTAACATGAGTCTCTGCAATTCTCTTTATATTCCAAAATCAATTTGGGGGGGGAAAAAGCCGTCAAAGCCCCTATTATGGGCTGAATTGTGTCCTCCAAAGTTCAAATGTTGAAGCCCTAAGCCCCCAGGAGCTCAGAATGTGACTGTTTTTGGATGGAGGATTTTGAAGTGGGTGATCACATCATTAGAGTGGGTCCCAACCCCATCTGACCGGTGTCCTCACAGGAGAGATCAGGACACACAACGACACATCAGAAGCACCTTGCAGACAGGGCCAACCATGTGCCAAGGCAGCCAGGGGGCAGCCACCTGCAGGCCAAGGAGAGTGGCCCCAGAGGGGGCCAACCGTGCCTGCACCTTGCGCTGGGACTTCCAGCCTCCAGGACTGAGAACCACGGTCTGCCTGCCAGTCTGTGGATTTGGTTAAGGCAGCCCCGCGGACGGCCCAGCCCCTAAGAACCACGCCTCCCAGAATCAGTCCCAGAATGCTCAGGGGTCTGGAACTACAACCTCCGCGCTATCGAGAGACAGGAAACGTCTCCACTCAAAACAAGTCAAGCCTGGAAAGAAAAGCAGCGGCCAAGAACGCTACGCGCTGGGGAAGCGCGCGCCCCGCACGGACCACGGGAACGAGGGTGAATCGGGCGCAGCCCAGATTACCTTGAGGTGGATGTAACAGTCCTTCAGCTCGGCCTCCCGGACCAGCGGCCCCTCCACGGGGCCGAACTGGGTGCGCTTGGGGATGCGCCGCTTGGAGAACACGCCCCCCAGGAAGCGGTCGATGTAGAGCACCAGGGGCAGGCTGGCCCGCGCGCGCGTCAGCACCGGCCGGTTGGGGATCGGGTGCAGCGGGCCGTGCTTCGGGCACACGGAAGAGTGGGCGTTGTTGCACTCCTCGCACCCTGCGCGACAGAGACATCCTCAGCGGGGCGGCCTCGGGGAGCCCGAAGCGGAAAAATCCCCAGATCTGCGTTGTCAAGCCAAAATTCATTATCGCCTGTGACAGCCCTGCCCGCTCAGTTGTAACACCTGACTCAGCAGAGACCCGGAAAATCCTGCGGTTTTCCTCTCAAGCCAGGCGGAACCAGCTCATGGCCTGTCAGAAATCATACGCAGGCCGTGGCTTATTTCTGCACTGGATATTCACTGGAAGAGTGGGCACCAAATTTACAAACCAAGCATAACATGTCAGAAAAGAAGAGCTTATTCGGCTAAATGTTGCAAACTCCGATGAGACGAAATAGGTGCATTTTATAGTACATAAATTATATCTCAGTAAAGCGGTTTTTAGGAAACCTGACAACACTTCTAATCAGTTTCCTCGAAAGGAGCGTGGAAGCCGTGTTGCCTGGGCGTCTAAATCACACAGGAAAAGTGCCGTGGAGTTTGAGACTCCCGTGCATTTTGGGTGAAGCCAGATAATGCTTCGTTCACTTGGATGGCACAGTCAGCCCAGCCCGGACACGTATCTGCAGCTCATCCTGGGAGTGGGCAGCCAGCCTCGCACCCCCACACAGCCCCTCTCTCCCCGTGTCACCCCTCTGTCAGCTGACCACCAGGACGAGATGTGTAAAGCTGCGAAACAAGAAGAGTGCCTGGCCCACACAGAGATCACACTCGTGACCCTTAACAAAGCTAATGAACCAAACATGTTTTGCCCAACCCTAGCCACGTGATGACCCAGCTTAGGGAGAGGTATTTTCAGTTTCTACGGTTCTCTGATAATGGAGAGCTCCTTTTTATTAATACTTACAGGACAAAGTGACTTTATGTATGTTTGACTAAGGCACTGCCTTGAAAATTTACGAATTCAAAGAAAAACAGAATGAGGAAGTTCTCTATGGGGCGTGGAGATGAACACCAGCCCCATACACACTGGCTCACCACCACCACACAGACGGTCCCGGGAGAAATATGGTGCGGCCACAAAGCTCGGCAGAGCCACAGTAACTCGAAAGAGGAGATAAGGACTTTGCCACATATGTGTGAAAACTGATGGCCAGCAGCAATGACTTGGCAGGTGGGAGCAGGACCCCACAAGCAGACAGTATGGACAGACAGGATGACCGTGGGCACCTGGAGCCAGACCACCTGAGTTTGAATCCTGATCCGTACAACCGCCGAGCATGACCTCAGGAAAGCTGCTGGCTTCACAAGACCATAGAGAGCATTACTCGAGTTAACAAATGCAGAGCGCTGGGGTAGCTCAGTGGTTGAGCACATGCTTAGTATGCATGAGGTCCTGGGTTTGATCCCCAACACCTCCATTAAAAAAATAAACAAAGTGAAAAGAAAAAATGTAGAACGCTAGTGCCCGGAGTTTCACAGGCTTCTTTTTATAACAGTTTTTAAAGGTTGTTACAAAGAGAGTTTGGTAGCAGAGGAACTTGTGAAAGCGGAAACGGCTGGATCTCCTGGATGGGACAGAGTCATGGTTCAGTAGCTGGAGCTCTGGGATCAGAGGCTGAGGCATATGCCTGACCCCCCAGCCCCCACCCCTGGGCCACAGAGCAGGCTGCCCGGCTTCTTCCGGGCTTCAGCCTGCTCATCAGTGAAGTCACAACTCCAGCGCCAGGGTCAGTGCCTCCGTGACCCGCTACCTGAGGACGGGGGGGCGGAGATGCACGCCGAGGGGCAACGACTGCACACAGGGTGCCCCCGGCAAAGGTCAGCCCGCCTGCTTCCGGGTGCAGACTCTCACAGGGAGCAGCTCATACTTACACAGGTCATGCGGGTCGAAGGGCCGGGGGGGATCAGGTTCCCAGTCATCCAGGTCAGTGTCTTCACCGTCTTCCTCCTCATCATCCTCAGAATCCTCATCCTCTTCCTCCTCTTCCTCCTCCTTGGCCTCCAGTCTTCCCATGGGGTTCTGCAGGGTTGCCAGAGGGTCTGAGCCATCCACACCCTCAATTGAAGGCAAGACCTGGTTGTGCACCGGCAATGAGGCCTGGAGAATGATTAATCGTAAAGCCATTAGCACTGTCCGTCTGAGTCAGCGGGCGCCTGTGCACACAGAACCCAGGTCTCGGTGGAAGAGGCTCTGCACACCAGCTCCCTTCCAGGCCCTGGAGAAATCACCTCCGTTCCCATCCTGGGTGGTAATGAGCAGTCTGTGCTCATCTTCGCTGTTTCAGTCCCACATCTGGGCTCCTCTGGTGCCAGCGAGAGATTCAAACCCCACAAGGCCCTGGCCATGTGCTCGGGACCCACATGCTGACCCCACCCCTTCACCTCAAGTCCCATTTCCTTGCTCTCTCAAGCTCTTCCAAACCTGCTTGACAGGCCTGCCCTGTCCCCCCAGAGACTCTGAATATGGAAGTCACCCTTTCCATGACCTCTTAGAACACAGGTGCCATCACTAGTCTCTACAGTGGCACTCGGTTTCAGGTGGGGGGGGTCCCTCCTGCCTTTGCAGGGTGGCCACAACATAGCGCAGGTGGAGAGACCTGACCCACTGTCAACCACGTGGCTTTGAACTGAACATGTGGTCCAGGATGCAGCTGGTGGGATTCAATGGGTAACGGCTCTCCTTTCACACACTCCAGAGGCAGAGGTTTGTAAGTAAGAAGGATAGAGATGCCCGTTTGTTTCATCACGCTGAAGGTGGTCTTTTGCAAGTAAGTCACGGTTTGGGTCATGTGTTGGATTAATGCAACTTTACCAAGTACACGGGCAGAAAATAAATGGCACCTTAAAAAGGTCTCTCTCCTCCTAAATAAGCGTCAGGGGCTATATACCGCCCAGATTCCTCTTACGCAGCCAATTTCCCCTGCCCCGTTAGCGTGATTAGTCATACTCAAGCCATGTCCCCTTCCTGTTCAATAAATAAGACACATGTCTCCAAATGTCTACTCCCCTTTTCTTTATCTTTCCCCACCTAGAATGCTCTCCCCTCAGCAATCTTCCAAATAAACCCTGTCATCCTCCGCTTTCTCCTGAACCATCTCTGTTCTCTGCTCTGACCTCCCGCTCCACGACACCGTGCAGCCTGGCTTCGCAGTTCACTGCTGCACCCAGCAGGCAGCCCCATGGCTTTGGACTAGCTCACGGGTGGCTCAGGTGGGGTCAAGCCCTCCCCGACTTTCCACTCAGGTTAGACAAAGTCAGTCTACCCTCTGCCACGTGAAGACAGTTGCTCCAGTATGTCAAGACCAAAACCTCTAATTCACTGAATCATTTCTCACATGGCCAGCCTTGCTTTGTGCTGACAACTGCCATGTTCTACTGCAGACCCGTTCTGCGGGTGTAGGTAACTGAAACCCCTGAGTCCTCGTGTCCTCTCAAAGAGCGTACTGAACCATGTGTCTCCTCCTCAAGACTTAGCTGGTTTTTACGTAAATGGGCATTTACCTCCAGTAAATTTCATTTTACTGCATTTTCCGTCCCTCCAGTCTGCCAAGATCCTTTCGAATCTCGGTTCTGACATCTCACACCTTAGCTATCCCTCATGGCTTTGTACCCACTGCCAAAAAACATCTACTCTTCAATTACTGTGCATTTTCACTTGAGCCCGGCTTGCCTCTCCAACTGCACTCAGGGAAGTAGACCATACGCTTTGGAGTCAGATTTGGCTCAGAATCTTGGCTCCACTGCTTAGCAAGTTAATAAACTTCTCTGAACCTGTGTTTCTTTATCTTTAACCTGTAAAATGGGCACAAGACTTACCTCATAGGTTGTTGTGAGGATTAAATGGAACAATGTGTATATGAGACCAGTAGTAGAACGCCTGGCATTGAGTAAGTGCGTAATATTTATTTTTATTACTAGCATCATCGTTGTCTTCATCATAAGTTCTTTAAAGGACTGAGGTGACATCATGTATTTAATCTACAACCTTAAGAGGCTGCTGGGTTTAAAGACTTAAATATAAGACATGAGACCATAAAACTCCTAGAAGAGAACCATAGTCAAAACATTCTCCGACATAAATTGTAACAATATTTTCCTAGGTCAGTCTCTCAAGGCAAAAGAATCAAAAGCAAAAATAAACAAATGGGACCTAATCAAACTTAAAAGCTCTTGCACAGCAAAACAAAATAAAATGAGACGACAACCTACAGAATGGGAGAAAATATTCATAAACAATGCAATTGACAAAGGGGTTAATTTCCAAAATATACAAACAGCTCATACAATTCAATATCAAAAAAACAAACAGCCTAGTCAAAAAAATGGGCAGAAGACCTAAACAGACATCTCTCCAAAGGAGACATACAGATGGCCAACAGGTACATGAAAAGATGCTCAACATCGCCAATTATTAGAGAAATGCAAATCTAAACTACTATGAGGTATCACCTCACACCAGTCAGAATGGCCATCACCAAAAAGTCTACAAATAATAAGTGCTTGAGAGGGTGTGGAGAAAAGGGAACCCTCCTACACTGCTGGTGGGAACTTAAATTGAGGCAGCCACTATGGAAAACAATATGGAGACTCCTCAAAAAACTAAAAATAGAGTTGCCATATGATAGAGCAATTCCACTCCTGGGCACATATCTGGAAAGGACAAAAACTCTAATTTGAAAAGATACATGCACCCCAATGTTCACAGCAGCACTATTCACAACAGCCAAGACATGGAAGCAACCTAAATGTCCACAGACAGATGAATAGATAAAGAAGATGTGGTCTATATACACAAAGGAATAATACTCAGCCATAAAAAATGACATACTGCCATTTGCCACAGCATGGATGGACCTAGACATTATCATACTGAGTCAAAGTAAAATAGAGAAAGACAAATACCATATGATACCACTTCTTTGTGGAATCTAAAGTGTGATACAAATGAACTTATTTACAAAACAGACATAGAAAAAAATTATGGTGACCAAAGGGGAAAGCAGGGGAGGGATAAATTAGGAATTTGGGATTAATAGACATACACCACTATTTATAAAACAGATAAACAATAATGGTTTGCTGTAGAGCACAGGGAACTATATTCAATATCTTATAATAACCTATAATGGAAAAGAATCTGAAAAACTAAATATATGTATAACTGAATCACTTTGTTGTACACCTGAAACCAACACAATATTGTAAGTCAACTATACTTCAATTAAAAAAAAAAGGCCGCTGGGCAGGTAGCATGTATTCAATGAAAAGTAGTATGTGGGAATATATTTGGCCCTCTGGGAAATGACATCAATCCCTTTAGGCATCTAAAGGAACTCTGGGGCTATTCACAGAAACATCCATGAATCTACGTTTTGCATCTAAGAACTTAAACTCTACAGAGAAACAGTATGTGTGTGTTTACAGGATCTGACCTGCTATGGCAGTTAAAGGTCACTGCCCAACACCTGAAACCCTCAGGCTCCAGAAAGCAGATAAAACCAGTTACCTCATATCGCATGTGCATGTTTTAACATGCATTCCTGTGACCTAGGAGCCCAGACTGTTACGTGACATTCCGCCTGTAGCTCAGGGCCTTTCAGAAGTCTATACAGGAGGACAACGTTCGGGGAGATGCTTCTGCTTCAACTTCAACCACAACAGAATAAAATGCCCACTGAGGTGAGGACTCGACAACGAAACAAGAAGGGACCTCTGGTGATGAAACTGTGTTTGCCCCGCTCTGCATCCACACTGACCCTCGGCTCCCACGGGCTGCGTCAGAGCGCAGCTTCGATATCACACTTTACTCCACGCTACTTCAGTTTTACACCAGCATTAGTGATGAATGTTATCACACACTGAACAAACCAAAGCGTAGATCCAACCGCTATCCGCATACATTCTCTATCTCCTTGCAGAGCCAACCTGAAAAAATGAATTCAGCAACTCAGAGTTACTTCCAAGAAGCTGCACTGTATTTTCTACCAACAGATGCTGCTGGAAAGACTGTGGTCGGGCAAGTCTGGCTCCTGGCCACTGCTGAGAAAGCTGACATTAAAACAGACCAACAACCTCCTCATCCCCAGGCTGGAACCCTCCTCAGAGGCTGTGGCAAGGCGCAGGCTGGAACACGCCAGCATCACCTAGAGGCACTGCGGCTAAAGCACAAGCTGAAGGTACACCTGCATTATGCAAACTACCATTGAAAAGGCATGGAGAGTGTGGGTGATAATCGTTTCTAGGTAAGAACTCGGTATTCGAGATGGCATAGACCATAGCACACGGTAGGTATGCATTACCGATTTTTTAAACTAACAATTCAAATTCAACTGACATTTCCTGAGTGCCAGGCATGTATCTAAATTCTCTAAATTCCTCTGAGGCCAGATAACTTGACCACACAGCTCCTGGGTGGCAGAGATGAAACTCACATACTGACTCTGCCCTGCTTTTCCAGTCCATCACAATGGCCCCTGCAGAGGCCAGTCTATTCAGGGAGGAGGTGAATACCACACACACCTTGAGTACCAGAGCAACCAGGCAACACACCTGCTCCTGGGGCAGCCGCCAGGCAGCAGGATGGTGAGCAGTTCTACTTAAAGGAAGAGAACGGTAACAAAAATTAGTTTACTCCTGTGCATTTTGTCACAGACAATAAAACGTGGCGAGAGGAAAAGGAATTTGTTAAACTCATGGTACATTTTCTCCTTCCCACTTAACATCACTCTCTGTAATTATTTCTGAACTACATAATGCATTTCCGGATACAATTTATCTGAGAGTGAAATATGAGACTACACTGGACGGCGGCGAACACAACAGAATGCTCTGGATCCCTGCTGAGACCAGTGCTGAGGGCAGCATATTTTCCTCCCAGTGTGTGGGGAGTCACACATGCTCCTTTTCAGAAACAAAGCGGAGACCGTGCTTCTAGGTCTGGAGAGAACCGGGGCCTTCCTTACGGACGGGGGAACGCATATATGAAAAAGGCTTCCAATGGATTTTTGCCACCACTTAAAATAATTGAAAATAGGAACCTTCTTGCAAAAGAAAAAGAAAAAGAAAAAGAAAAAGCCCCTGTCATCTAGGTTAAACTCCCATGCCAACTTCTATCCAGAATTTATCCAGGTCATGGAATAAACTGACAGTCACCGAAGTGCCACAGCCAGAAATGAAACCGTGCCAGCTGAGAGGAAGCTGCAGTGGAGACAGAGGCTAAGCCCACAGTTACACCGCCTGGGATGCCGGGTTCACGAAGCCATCTGAGGGCAACTTTCCTTCTGTACAAACATGAAACAGGCAGATTGTTTCTGGAGACTGGGGAAGATGAAGGGCCCTTTGAGGTGCAAAAGGTGACAAAACCTCTCATTAAAACGATGCCTTAATATTAAAGCAACAAAATACCATTTTGCTCATCAGATTGGCAAAATTTTAAAAGAATGCAAATGCCCAATGTGGCAAGGGCATGTGGAAGTAGGCGGTCTCATATAAATTTTTTCAGCATCTGAAAAGCTATTTAGAATATCAAAATAACTCTCCCATGTATAATGACAAATTTCACATGTACATCAAATAGAGAGAACAGTAGAATAAATGTTACGTACCCATCACTCAGCCCCAACAATGGTCAACTCATGGCTCACCTTACTTCACCTGTCTTCCCAGCCACTGTTCCCCTCACGAGACTGTTTTGAAACAAACCTTAAACGTTATACATTTTCATTTCTAGGTAGTTCAGTAGCTCTGTCTAGAAGAAAAGGATTTCTAGACTTCACATACTGTCGCACCTAAAAAACAGTCTTTCCTTAATATCACCAATATCCAGTTGTTGTCAGGATTTCCCCAACTGTCTCATAACTTTTTTTTTTTACAGTTGGTTTGTTCAAATAAGGACCCACACAAGGTCCGCATACTGCATCTGACTGATACATCTCTAAAGTCTCCTTTAATCTGTAAGCTCCCATTTCTCTTCTTTTTACTCCACAATTTGCCTGTGGGCGAAACCAGGCCATTTGTCCTGTAGGGTATCCCACAGTCTGGCCATGCTGGATGTGTCCTTGCCCGTCTTGTAACTTATCCCACTTTGTCTGTGCTTCCTACAACGTGGCAGTGAAAGCTACAGACTCAGTCAGATTCAGGTTCCGTTTTGGGGGAGGAACACTTTTTACGTGGTTAAAATGCAGGAGGAGGTTCATTACACCAGGAGGCCTGTGATGAATGCTCTCCAACGTGCAGAGGGGTGAGCTGATCTATTCATTACAAAGTGCCTCATCAGCTTTTTCCTGACAGCAGGAGATGAAAAATGGTGATGCTCTAAGCCAATCATCCCCCTCCTTTATTTATTACTTGGATGCTTCTGTGATGAAATTTCCCTCATCAAGAATGGGGTTGGTGCCCTCATACAAGACCCAGAGAGCAGCCGCGTGCTTCCTGCCCTGGGACAGCACAGCAGGAGGCAGCCGTCTGTGAACGGGAGGAGGGCCCTCACCAGACAACAACCCTGTTGGCGCCTTGGTCTTGGACTTCCCTGCCTCCAGACCTCTGAGAAATCACCTTCTGTTGTTTATAAGCCACCCGGTGTTTGGCGTTCTGTGGTAGCAGCCCGGATGGACTAGTTGATAGACTTACCTCCCCCACAAACTGTAGATCACTACCTGCCAGGAATAAATGCAACCATAACTGACATGACAAGGAGCCCTAATTCTCTCTAAACTTCATAAATGACACTAACACAACTATTTTCATTTTTCAAATTTTAAAATGGAAGTATCCAAATCCTCTTCTAAAAAATTTAAAAAGCAGGAAGTGCTTACTAATGCGAATTTACTTGATAATCACTCGTGACACTCAGTGGTGCGGCCAAACAGCAATCACACCAGCCAACACGAAAATAAAAGTATCTGGATTCGCGTCCCCTCCAGGGTGAGACCGACAGCACGCAGCTTCTGCACCTTCGGGATCACGTTCACAGCGTGGAGGGAAGTAAGGAATGAGTCCCTCCAAGTCAAATATGGTAGATTAGAAACATGGATAAAAGGGAAGAAACGTTTTAAAAGGAAATCAAGAAGAACCTCAGCTTCAGAAACTACAATGAGGAAGGCTGCCGCCACATGCCTTTGCAAGTTAAGCAGGAATTTCCCCCCAATATTCAAAAATAGAACAAGTACTAAAATGTTTCCAAATTTCCATAAAGAGACACTTTTAACACTCGGGATTATTCTTTGGAACTTGAACCAATATCAAGTTGATATGCTTATTTTTTAATTTCCCTGACAAACCATTTTGCAATGCCAGGCTATCTCAATACATCCTGACTGAAGTGTGTTAAGTGTCCTGTTCTGCTTTGTTTTCACTAATGGAACTAGAGAATATTCTAAATACTTAAGAAACAGACACCCAGAGAACGCACAGTGCAGAGGGCTGGGGCATTCCAGGGAAGGGTAACTTCATAGCATCACCAAACAACAAAAAGGCAAAAAAGCAACTCCTTACCTGCTGAGCTGTAGCATCCTGCTGGACATAAGCTACCTGGCCTGGGTCTGTAAACAGAGTCTAGAGCGAAAAAACAAAAAATGATCAATAGATCTTTAGACAACTTGTCTACATGGAAAAAATTATCCTACTGCTAAGCACCAAGTCTTGAGAGAGTTAATTCCCACATAACTAGTAATACTTTCATTAATAAAGAAGAAACAAAGAGTAATCATACATTTAAAGCCTTTCATTCAGGTGGCTCCAAAGAGATTGCGTAAGCTAACCACCCCCACTGGCGAACATACTTCCTACTTCACGATTTTACTCTAAAGCAAAGTCTCTCCTGAGACTGAATGTCGCAGCTAATTACAAAGGCATCCGTGAATGAGGGTGCAGGCATTCACACGTAACACTGTATCACAGGGGGAGACTTGTAATTAAAAGAGGGTGGTTGCAGATACACCAACAGAAGAGTACTCTGTGCCCAAGGACTACAACTGTTTCAAACACAAACGCACACTCGTTAACCGAAGAGAAGTAGAAGGAAGGTGAACTGAATTTAACGTCCCGAGATTATTTTTTGGACAAAGCCAGTAAAATCATAATTTCAAAAGTTCTCATTATAAATACATAATTTGGGTCATGATGCAGCAAAGCTAGCTAGAGGAAGGAAAATCTTCAGAATTATTTTAGCCAGAGTATCTCCAATCCAGAAAAATACTTTTCTCTCTAAAGCTTTTAAAAGATTAATTTGCCCAAGGCTTTAGCAAACCCATGGGCATAAGAACTATAGTTAAGTGTTGATTCCAGAAAGTTGTAAAAGGGAATTTCAGCCCAGTGTCAGATTTCTTATATTTGGCATTAAAAAATTATCATAATTCGGACACTTAGTAACGTAGGAAAGAACTAAAAGCTAAGCACAGGTCACCCTTTACGTAATCTCTGCTAATATTGGCAGGGGATTAAAAACTGAGAAGGGACATTCCAAAAGTACCAGCTGACTATTAGGCGACTTCACCTCTGTATAGACTTGAAAGGTTCTTATTAGCTGGGTCCCCTTTCTTCTTGAGAGCGATGTGAGTCTCTTGATTAAATATTACGTGAGGGCACATTTTCATCACCAGGACCCTACTATAAAAGCATGGAACGGATTTCTCTTTAAATATGTTTAAAAGTGCTTTGTACATTGTAAAGTGCTAACAATACGAACTAACATTCATACATTGGGGAATATTCATGTCATGCATTTGGAAACTAACATTCAGAGTCACTGGGAAAAAAAAGGAGCTGTAACTTTTAGCTGCGCTTCCACACAGTCCTACAGACCAGCCAGTTGTCAGTAAAGAGCAGTTGGCAGGACCCCATGTTCACACGTTTAACGGAAATGATCCGTATGTTTTCACGGGTCTATCTATGATAACAGTATACAGAACTAAATGCCACTTTTGGCCTGGCTCTTGGTAACTCAGAAAAGGCACCAAGCTGATCATCTAGTCAGTCAATAGTCAGTGGAGAAGAGAACTCATTCGAGCCTGGTGCAGTAACTCCTTACTGCATTTAAATTTAAATAAATAAGCCATGTCTACCTCTGTCAAGTTGGTTATCAGCTCCTTGACAGCACAAACCTTATCTGACCATTTTCTGCATCATCAGCAGCAAACAGCACCGTGACTACAGAATAAACCTAAGAAGCTGGTGAATTAACTGACTAACAAGCTATGAGCAACAGTGCTCCACGTGCCTGCGCAGCTTCCACGGGATGGATGTAGACCAGTGTGTGCTCCGGCCCATCCACTGACGCGTAGGAGGCACCATCTGCCGTGTACACCACCTGCTGCGGGGGGCGGACCTGGTCATCGGTGTAGACGATCTGGGCTACAGTGCCAGCGTCTGGAACAAAGTGCACCTGGGGAAAAAAGGCCAGCATGTATGTAGCAACCATCCTGGTGGAATGACACCTGTCTCACAAAGGTGTGTAAGTGACTGAGAACATTACACACTTGCATTTTTAAATGATCCCCAGTAAAAGGAGGATGCAACTAATACCCCTCTGTCTACAGCAAGTCAGTGACTGGGGGATGGGATCCAAGGACCCTGTGACTGGTTCACTGCTTAATATGAGGCAACCGATCTCAACTCCCTTCTGCCTCCAATGTCCAGTACAGGTATCTCTGCGGAGGAATAATGAGGGAGAGGTTCACTGATGCTGGAAATGTGACAGAAGGTTCCTGGTTGACATTACCAGAATACAAAATACCAATTGTCCTGTAATGTGAAAAAAATATGTCAAGACTCAAAAGCCAGTTGCTTGCAATACATCATAAAAATTCTGCTTTACAACTAACAGTGCCTTTTGGCAAACATTAAAATAAACAAGGTCACTTTCCAACAAATTCTTTCGTGCTCAAGGCCGTTCTGGAGGGTTATCGGTGACCATTTGTGGACTCAGTGACCTTGCCAACTAGGTGAAGATACAAAAAATTTTAAGAAAGTACTTTTGAGGGGTTTTGGACAACTATTTCACTTGTCACCAGGGGAAATAATTTTCTATCTACCAAGAACTAAAGCAGAAACTGGACTTTGTAAAATGCTTTCTGAATAGTCAGCTTTGGAGGCTGAGTTCTTGAAGGCGAGTCTGGCACACAGTCTGACGTCTGATGTTGAAGGTGTGGAAGCCAATGGCCAAAGTCCACATTTGGGAGAAAAATGACTTCTGTGCTGATATTGAAGTTAGGCCCGCTTAGGGTGGAATCTCTTCTTCTGTCTTGGCTTAACACCTAACTTTTTCCATTTCAGTTTTTGCCAGTGGGGAACAGTAGATCCCAAAGACGACATAAGCTAATTCAATCCCCAGAAAGAAAACCGGAGGCCAAACACGGCCAAGAGCCCCAGGGATGAAGTCAGCTCCCGCTCCGTGCGGAGGTTCTGCGTCCAGCTTCTGCGCAGATCTCGTCTGCCCGTGGAGACGCAGTTTGGAAATCAGAAGACTGAGGCTTATAAGGCATTTGTGCTGTTTCGAGTGCTGCAAGATAATTTTGTGAGTTTAGACTTGTCCATTAACATTAAAATCTTGGACTAGTTTCAGTGCTTAGAAAAGGGAGAAAAATGTCTGCTCAAGAAGAGGGTTATCCAAGCTTTCCAGCTTGGCTGGCATCACCCTGCTTTCTAGTAACTCAGAACTCCTGGTTGGGAGGAGGAACACGGAGAAGGGGGTGGCAAGCTCTACTGTCCACCGCCTGATTGCCCACAAATGCGGGCCCTGTTTATTAATGGACTACGTTTTTGTTTATAAACAAAATGCAACAAAACATATAGAAAAATATACATGGAAAACAGACTTCCAAACATTTTCCATGAGAACAAAAACAGCATCTCTAGTTCTTCTGACAGTATCATCTCTGGAATCTTTTTTCCCCAATATTCAGACTCAGACTTTAAAATCATACCTGATGACCGATTTTATTTATTGTTAATATTTATTATATTGCTTAAGTTAAATAAAATGCATATATTTAAAGGTTTCAATGTTAACTTCCTGATTTTGATAATAATACTATGGTTATATAATTTGATGAAAATTAAATTACAATGACATCTGTATTATAATGCTTTAAAAGGAAGTTTTATACTTTGGTCCCATATAAAGCATGGCTCCATAGGACTGCTGACTCTTCCCAAAATCCAAATCAATATCCAAAATGTAGAGGTTGGCCTTTGCCAAGAACAGACAGAAGAGTGTGTAGCTAGTTACAATAGCCATTTGAAAGGCAGAGATCCCCCAATACCACAGCTTTCAATAGGTGACTAACCTCCAGAGCTGTTGACTCAGTGGGACAACTTTCAGTTAAGAGGATTATGTTCTGCGTTTGGAAAGAAAAGGGAAAGCCACTCACTTTATAGACAGAGTTGTACTTCCTCACCCAGGAAGAACCAAAGCCCTTTCCTGGATAACGTAAAGGAAACACTGTAGTTCGAGGCTTTCGGCACCAATACCAGGAAATAAAACTGGAAGTGAAACAGGTGATGACAACAAGCTGGGGGGAAGGCAGGGAAGTCTGTGGGTAGGAAGCAACCCCACTAAACGGCAGTGACAGTGTTCGGAGCTTTCAAAGTGCTGAAACGCTGCCCTCTCCTTACGCGCCAGTTCCGCACATCAGCTCCCTCCCATGTGCAGAGGCTGCCATTTCTCTATCTGTCAGCAAACTGAGCCCAACTGAAAACTGCCACCAACGCCAAGCTAGAAGACCACTCTTCACCTGTGCAGCGCTCTCCTCGTGATCTGCAGGCGGAGGCCACACGTGTGAGCTATCGTCTTTGGAATCCATCCCTTCCCTGCTGGACCGCTCCACGGCCGGGCACCTAGAGCCGCGCGGGCTGGGGGACAGTCATCTGTCTACCACGTGCATGTTCGCGAAGGACAAACGGGCCTCTCTGCAACGTGCCTGCAAAAAGAGAACAGGAACCAAGACTTCCCATGAATGAATGCATTTTAATAAATTACAGTTTCATCCACAAAGAGGGGGAATAAAAAGCTTTGTAAAAGATAACACACCTGGGCAGAAGGCAGAAATGGAGAAATCACATGTACTAATGATACAGTGGAGCGCGCGCTTGCCAGTTCTGGGCGCACCTTAGGTGGACGTACCCCTCATCGCAAACGCTGACAACAGTCCTCTTAATTCTCCTGATGAGGAGGACGAGGCCCCCGACGCTCAGTGCAGGTGAGTGAGGGGTTCACACCAAGTCTCACTGCTGCAGGGCCAGCTCACCCCTCCCTTGTGCACTTGTTTAGACACTGATTTCCTGTACCACCTACTTGAAATGAAAAGCAGAAGGAGAAAAGCCACATAGCAAGGGAAAGTGGCTGAATTTTCTGGGCCACCAGCTTGGTGAAAACAAACATAAACTTTGTTTTCCCATTTGGTCAATACAGGAGTGATCAGTGAACAAATCAAAAGCCCTATGAAACACCCACATGCACAATGTCCGCATCTGGGAACATCACTGCTTTCCAAATAGGCGTTTTACTCAATCTTCCCCTTCAGTGATGGTAAAACACTGGCATTTTAAAGGTCACATGAGACCTGCTGCAGACGGGGCAGCTGTGCCTGATCACCTCCTCCTGTGCCGTGCTGAAGTAGCACACAGATGGGAACACCACTCAGCTAGGGGTAAGAAAGAGCACTGCCCAGGACCCAGCCAGAATTTCCTCCATTATTAATGGAAATAAGCTGAGCAACATTCTTAGACTGCACATGTTCCAACAAGAATAGGGGCCGAAGAAGACAGAAAAGCAACTGGAACACCTGATCTCCAGGCCTACATCTGGAACACAGAAGAGTCGTGTCCAAATCATCTGGGAGCTTCTTCTGAGACACTGAGCCACCTGCTCCTGGTCGGCCTCAATGCTGCCACCCTCACCCCCAACACAAACACACACACACACACACACACTTGCCCTGCACACACACCCTGCCCTCTCCCCTCCATTCAGAGGGTGCTGGAAACAATGCCCACGCCATCAACAGGTGAACACGGAAACAAAGGGCCACAGGGGCACTTTCTGGAGAAATGGAAATCTTCTACATCTTATATCTAGATTGGGGTGGTGGTCACATGGGGAATTCATTGTCAAAAGTCATCAACCTATTCAATTAAAATATGTGAATTTTATCCTGTGTAAATTATACCCTAACACAGTTGTTTTTTTTTTTTTTAAGCATACTGTGCTTATCTAGTAGTACTATTTAAGCACACGTAAAAGGCAGGGTGAGTTGTCTCGTATGTGAATTATACCTCAACAAAGCGGTTATGTATTTTTTAAAAGGAACAAAAATATTAAGAAACCTAGGAATAAATATCACCAATAATATAAAGATCTATAGGAAGAAAAGCACAAAACTGACAAAAAGATGAAGGGCTCAGTATCACAAAATCATAAAATGTTCCAAATCAGAACCATTTTTTTAATTCTGTATTTTGAAATAATTTCAGACAGAAAAGCAGCAAAAATAGTACAAAGAATTTCTGTGTTTCTTCACTCAAGTTCCCCGAATGTTACCATTTTACCATGTTTACCTTATAATTCTCTCTTTCTCTCTCCCTCTCTCCTTTTTTTTTTAACTTGAACTATTTGAGAGTAAGTTGCAGGCACAAAGCCCCTTTACTACTAAATTCTTCAGTGCCTGTTTCCTAAAAACAGGCCATTTTCTCACATAACCAGTCCTACTATCAAAATCAGGACGTTAGCATTGAAACAGCACTACTCCTCATTTACAGACCACATTCAAATTTTGCCAATTGTCTGATTACCGTCCTTTGTCGAGAAGGAAACACCTCTTTTCTGGCCAAGGATCCAATCGGGCATCGCACACGGCACATCCCACTGTCACGTCCCGAAGGTGCCCTCTGATCAGGAACAGTCCCTAGTCTTTCCTAGTTCTCCACAACCTTGACATTTCTGAAATGCACAGGCCATTTGTTCTTCAGAATATCCCTCAACTTGAGTTTGTCTGATGTTTCCTCATGGTTAGATTCGGGACACGTATTTTTAGCAGGAATTAATACCACAAAAGAGACGCTCTTCTTTTCCCATACAGGAATTTGAGGGGGGTTTTTTTTCCAGCTTGGTTTATTGATCACACAAATACTCAAGTGCACAGTGTCCAGGCACTGGGATGCAGCGAGGGTCAAGGCAGGCTTCCCCACGCTCGCAGGAAACACACCAGCCCAGAGCATCTTCCTTAAAGGTGCTTATTATTTCTTTCATTTTAATTTTATTTATGTATTTTCTAGTAGTTGGTAAATTCAGCTGGCTGAAAATTCAGAAGGTACAAAAAGGTATTCAGCGGGCAATCTCTCCACCTGGAATCTCTCAGCCACTCCTTAGAAGCACCTATATCACCGATTTTCCATCTGTTCTTCCAAAGATATTTTATGCACATACAGGCAAAAATATGAATTCTCTCTGCCTCTCCAACCACAAACAGCAGCGTACTATTGATTCTATACAAAGTAGCATCTCTTTTAAACCTGATTTATGCCACATGATACCACCCCTTTTAAGTTGTTCATACTATGTAACATTTCTTCATTCTTTACTACAACTGCATCGCTTCATTACATGAACATGTCATAATGTATTTAATCAATCTTGTGTTGATAAACATTTAGGTTATTTTTAATCTTTTGTGATGAATAAGTTTGGACATACAATGTGTTACATCTTGAATTCTTGCCAAGTCTCCGAGGGATGACACAGTGAGTTACAGTGGAATGACTGTTCAGCAACTGTCAGTCTCTGAACGCCGGCACCGGGGCGCTCCCCTCCCTGTGCCCAGAGCGTGAGGCCGGGGGACACGGAGGAAAAGTGCGTGCTCTGACCTGTGCAGAGGCAGCACTTGGCACAAGAGGCACAGCGGTTAGGAGCTCGGGCTCTGCACCTGGGGTGGGGTAGCAATTCTGTGACTTAACTGATCTTCGGCAAAACCTGGAAGTTCTCTAAAGTCCTCTGCTTCTCTGTAAAATGAGGACCATAAGGTTATTGAGACAGCATGAAATAACACAGGTAAAATGCTTAACACAATGCCTGCTACAGAATAAGCCCTCACATATTAGCTTTAAAAAAAAAGTACTCAATCATACCACATGGTTCTGTTTGTCTGCCTCCCATCTCAACTCTAAGTTCCTTCAGGTCAAGGAAAGTGAGTAACTCTAGACCTGGCATCTAGATTAGTGGCAGATCCTCAGTGATTTGTGTGCATTGGCTGAAAGACACCACAGAGAGCAGTGGGAAGACAGAAGACATCTGATCCCAACGGGGGTGTCCAGGCATGGCTTCTCGGAGAAGGTGACACTTGGAGGAGGAAGAGGAAGAAGCAAGCAGAGGTGGGAAGGGACAGGATATTTACTCCAGACTGAAATACCTTTTTTCTAATCTTGCCAAAATAAGGAAATAGGCATTAGCATTACATGATAAAAAATAGCAGAAACTGCACAAGGGAAGGAGAAAGGGGGAGAAAAAGGGAAGTAACTGCTTAGCAGATGCGGAGAAAAATTACAGAACAGTTAATCTACACGGAAAGTCTGCAGGTAAAATTAGCGAAATAGGGCTGAAGCACGGCCCACAATGGCAGTGCCCAGTAATTTCAGAATACCATTAGCAAATAAAGAAGCCTGAGATGTGAAAACTCTCTCATTCAAAAAGTGCCTGGAATCTAAAACAGCGATACCGAATACCCGGTTCTTGTTCTTTAGGACAGAATCGCAAGACCCATGGAGCTTCTGTAACTATGAAACTACTTGAAACACCAGTGTGACCTTCTGCATTTATCTACTGTTCAATACATTGTTGAAGGAAACTGCGCTCCAGTCATGACTCGACTACTACATAAGTGGCTCTAAATCCTCTCGCATCAGAGACCTCGTCTGTAAAATGAGAGTATGAAGCGGTTTCTAAAATCTACTCGAGCCTTAAGCTTAGACGGGAAGCAGCAGAGCACAGCAGGAAATCCAGACTCTGAAGCGAACGTCCCGGCTCCCGACTGGCTCAGGGCTCAGCAGTCACACCCCCGGTGTAACCACTAAAACTCCCCGAGCCTCAACAGCAGTCTGTGCAAAATGGAGATAATAATCACGTCCTGGTGACACCGAGAGGGCGACATGACACACAGAAAGATCTAGGCCCAGACCAGCACACAGCAGTGCTCCAGTGTATCAGCTTCCGTATTTTACAGGTGAGCTGTAAGAGCTTCAAAATTTTCAAAACATGTCATATTTTTCAAGCCTAGTAATTCATCAAATAACAAATGCCCTGGACCTGAAC